TCTAGTGCCTAGACAGTTGCTATTATAAAAGATCCCAGATGTTTTATATTAATAAATAATCATTTTAAGAGAAAATACTAACTTGGCCTTTTTGGGAGTGATCTAAAAAAAAAAAAACCAACAGAAAATTCTAAAATTCCTTTATAAGTTCATTGGAAAATGAAAATGTAATAGATCAAATAATAAAAAGTGTACTTGAACTATTGAATATTTATCTTTTGTTAGAAAAACATTAATCAGCTGCTTAATAACTATCACCACTTGAAAACCAGACACATGTTTAGCTCTGTCTGTAACAAACTCTATATTATTTAGATAGCAAGCTCATAAATTGCTTTTTCAGAACAAAAGAATGGAACATGAATAACAATGCATGAATTCCCTGACAGATAGAAGTTATATCCAAATACAAAATATCCAGGAGTAATATTGCTGGTTTGTTTCTTTGCCAGTGTTATTCAGAGTTGATTTGTCTGAAAACAAATATTTAATGTAAAGTTTTAAAGGCAGTAGGGCTTGACTTTGACCTGCTTTTGCTTGTGTTACATTAATAGCGCTGAAATATGGCGACACTGTTTATTTATACAACATGGGGAGAAAAAAGTGTCATTTTTATCTGAATGCTTTAAAAATGTCAGTAAAACATACTTTTGTGCTGCAGGGAAAATGTCTTAACTAACACACTGTATTTTGATGGAAATGTCACTAGTTAGGAATCAAACATCCCTTCAAAACTTCGGATACTGAATTAAATATACAACTAAAAGACGTTTGAGGACACTGTTTGTTTTGAAGTGCCTGGATTTTTATCTTGGGATCTCATTGCAGGGCTTAGGGAAAGGATTTTTCTTACATGTAGGATGTGTGTTTAAAGACAAGAACCTTATGTTTGTACTTTTGAAATATTTTGCCTCTTTACACATTTCATAACGCAAATTGCTCACTTCTCCTCAAATCTTGCCATGGGCTAGAAAGGTCTTTTGCTGCAATGCAACCTCAGTTCCTGATGTGGTGTTTGTTTAGTGTCATTTTACTGCCATGTCTCGATGTTTCCTGTCTTTCTTTTCTTTTTTAGCTCCATGCTTTCCACGCCCCGTTGGTGTGCACATGCATGGCAGTACCTGGTCACATAACCAGGACATTGTAGAGGACTCTGGGCTCCCAGTCATGCACAGATGAACTGCAAATTAACCACGGACTGGCAAGAGGAGGGCAGAGGTGCTTCCAGCACTGAGCCCTGGGCTGTGTCCCTCCCTAGCAGCAGGCAGCACTACCACAGCACACTTGCAGGAACAAGCTACGTCCTGAGATAACTTGTGTGTGCACAGGCAGGCTGGAGTGCTCTCAGAGTCCCTAATGCAATCATCTGGGTCCCCTATGAGTCAGAAAAATCCTCCTGCTTTCAGCAATGGCATCGACAGACTGATCCTGGTGCATCTTGTTGCACCATTATTATTCAAGATATTTCTGCCTCCATCTGCCTGCTCAGCCCTTCCACACAAGGTCACTCTGGCTGCAGCAGGGTGACAGAAATGTGTCTTGCCGTTCCCAACTGGTACAAACCCATCTTCCTTCACCCACCATGATACCCAGAACACAACATTAAATTGTTTCTGCTGTCCCTGGTCTGTCATGGAGGGGAGAGCTGGAATCAGAAATGCCTTTAAATAGCTGTAATTATTTATTTTTGGGTGAATGAATCACAGCCCAGATCTACATGATCAGGATCTTTTGGTGGATGAGGACCATTTGGCTGTTTGTTTTTTACTGAGATTTTCAAGTGTTTGACATTGCAATTTTGTGTTCCCTTAATATAATTTTTCCATGAATTGTATACACACATACATGCCCAATATATGCGAGCATGACTAAGCAAACTCAATTATGTGAAATCTTGGTTCTTAAGAATTAAAACCACAAACAATGTATTTGGATCTGAATTGGTCCTTAGAGGCTCCTTTCGTTTTGAACTGGGCTGTGATGCTGAGTGTTTTCTCTTTTTCTGAGAAAACCTTCTTTGAAACTCTTTAATTCAGACATTTAATCTTTGGTGTTTTTCCTGCCTAGTGGTTTTGTCTTGCCTTTTTTGGCTTTCTTTGATTATTCCTTTGTGTCCTAGTTTTTCCTTAGAAGTTAAAAATGTATTACTTCTTTTAATTTTATTTTCTTGTTCCCTTTTTTCAGCGCTAGTTGTCACCAATTCCAAATATCATAAAGCCGTGATGATTCCAAATATCATTAATAGAGTTCAAGGTGGAATTTAGCTGAGTTATGTGTCCAGATTTTTGGTAGTCAATTTGTGTCTGAAACAGAAGTTACCAGGGGTCCAAGTGTCTTCTGGAAATTTACCTCTGTTATGATGGATGTCACTATGACTTAGAAGCCAGACCTTGGCTTCAGAGCATTGTGTGCTCATCTTGTTTTTTAATTAAATGTCAGGATCTCAGTTGTGAAGATCAAAATGATTCCTTCTTTCAAGTTCCGTCAGGAAGGAGATAGAGCGTTTGTTTTTGTTTTCTCTCTTGATGAGATAAGGTTCCCTTTTCATCTAAATGTTAGGACTTTTCATGCCTGACTTTGAAGACACAAATAAAAAGGAGTGGATGAAACTATTCAGACGCAAAGAGATTTTTGATCAGGCAGTTATTGAAATCATGGATGGGGGAATCGTTGCACTTTAGAATATTGTATACATGATCTGCTGAAGTGGAGTTTTTTTAAGACTGGTGAAATTACATATGTCAGAGATTATATTATATTAACAGCTAAAACTTTAAGCAAGAACTGTGTTTAGAAACAGAATTTTAGCCCATAAAATTCACTAGTTAAATTATACTGAAGTTTGTAAGCTATCCAGCAGCAAGTCTCTTAATGGGGATGGGGAAACACTGATTTATGCATTGTGTGTTGTGACCCCAATATCTCTGGTAAATTTAAAGGTCAGCGGGGAGGGTGCTGGAGAGCACAAAAGGGGACAGCAACTCTGCAACTTTCCTAAGCATCTGTTGCTATGGAAACCCTGGTGCCTGGTGCTGGAGCAACAGGAATAGTCACACTCTGTCCCGAGGAGCCGTGCTGGGCTGGCTGGGCAGGACCCCGCTGGCAGCTCCGCGGTGACGGCCCGAGCAGTGCCCGGTGTCCCGGCCCGAGCAGTGCCCGGTGTCCCAACAGGAGCAGTGCCCGGTGTCCCAACAGGAGCAGTGCCCGGTGTCCCGGCCCGAGCAGTGCCCGGTGTCCCGACAGGAGCAGTGCCCGGTGTCCCAACAGGAGCAGTGCCCGGTGTCCCAACAGGAGCAGTGCCCGGTGTCCCGGCCCGAGCAGTGCCCGGTGTCCCGACAGGAGCAGTGCCCGGTGTCCCGGCCTGAGCAGTGCCCGGTGTCCCGACAGGAGCAGTGTCCGGTGTCCCCAGCCCGAGCAGTGCCCTGTGTCCCCGGCCCGAGCACTGCCCGGTGTCCCGACAGGAGCAGTGCCCGGTGTCCCCAGCCCGAGCAGTGTCCGGTGTCCCCGGCCCGTGCAGTTCCCGGCGGCTCCGAACAAAGGCCGTGCCGGGGGTTCCTGGCGCGTCCCGGCCCCGGATCCGACCCTGACCCCAGCCCCTGTCCCTTCCCCCTCCCCTTCCCCTTCCCCTGCCCCCGCCCCTCACCAC